CAGGTAGAAGGTCCTTCAGTCCAACTATTTAATTACAGGGTAATTAAAACATGTTATTTGACATACTTAGCCTTTTTATGATATTAAATTACAGATTTAGAAGTATTCTGACTGCAAAACTTTTGTTTATCAGATTTTTTTGAGAAAATGTTATTATTGAACGAGGCAAAAATTTCAATCGAGTGAGTAATGTGGCTTAGATTTATTTTTCTTACTATCAAATAAATGAAAGTCGACCATTGTTTCATATATGTTCACAATAGGTAGAAAAATGATGAGAGAGAGAGAATTTTCATGGTATGGAAAAATCCTAATCGCTCTCTTTTCTCTAAGAAAAGTGCGATGCTTTAATTCACTTATCGACCCCTTGTGACCGTACATATTGTCGATTTCTAAATTGTCGTCGGCGACAATATGTACCTACCCTCACTGCACATATTGTCGTCCATCGATACATATTGTCGCCTGCGACAATACGTGCAGAGACGAGCCTTATTTTCCTCTTGCATAATGGATGACAAAATGATCAGTCAAGCACATGGACATACTGTCGTCGGCGATTATATGTACAATCAAGGTCAGCATTATTGCCGTCGATATATTGTTTTGACAAATTCTTGAGAAAGAAATGACAAACACACACACAAGCATGAGAATGAGACAGACAGCAGTACTTGCAATGCTGTAGGGAGAAAACTTCTTGGTCAGAAAATTGTGTCCAGGATTAATGTACATCACTATGATATGTCAAGATACCGTTATTCTTGAGAAATCTGATAAATCAGCCTATTCTTTTTTTCTTGTAATATATACTTGGAGATTGAATATATATATACTTTTTTTCAGTAGAAATGATTATTTGGAAATTATTTTTTGCGTTATTCTTATATACAATCATGTGCCGGTATAATTGGTGTTGGGGTTGACATTCTTGTATCACCAGAACACGAGGTTCAAATGAGCTTTTCTGATCACATTTTGTCTGACCGTCCCTCTACCTGTAAACTTTTCACAATTTCAGCTTCTTTTCAAGAAGTACTGGGTCAATTTCAAACAAACTTGCCACAAAGCATCCGTGGTTAAAGGGGATTCAAGTTTGTTCAAATGAAGGACCATGCCCTCTCTCAACGGAAGTATTTAGGAACTAGTGAAAAATTTAGTGGCATCTTTTAAAAATTTTCTCAAGAACCACTGTGTCAGAAATATTGAAACTTTTGTGAATGTTTCATTATGAAGTGAAGATTCAGTTTTATTCACGTCCCTCGGGGGAAGGATGTGGCTACAAAAGGTGATCAAAGTTTTTCATAGAGTATTTAGAAAAGAAATCTTTCATTTTTTTTAAAGTACTAGTACTGGGTCAGAAGAGATGATACTTATGTGAAAGTTTCGTTACATAGCGTACGTTCAATTTTGAGGTGCTGGCACTAAAAAGATCCCTCACTACTCAATGAACCTGAGTGCTAAGTATAGCTCTTAATTTGCAGCCCTCCACGTGGTGACGTCCTCTACATACGAATGAAAAATTCTCGAGATTGACATCATAACAAAAATCAAAATTAATTTTGTTCAAATCATGACTCCTGCTGGGGTAGGGTGGGGCCACAATGGGTGATCAAAGTTTTACATAGGAATATATAGAGAAAATCTTAAATCTTCTCAAAAACCAGACAGATGTAGCAATGGCGCTCCCTCTCCCGGTGTTTTGATATTTTCTGCTTTGGTAAATTCTGTTTGTTTAACTAGTATTGACTCTCAATTTTGTCCATAGATAAAATTTTATATTAAAAAAATTACTTAAAAAATACAGTGACATACACTTTACATACAAATGACTTTTTAAATTTTTTTGCTCGTCAAAATAATTCTGAACCGGGCGAACTCCGTTTTGAAATTTCTGGATTCACCACTGAGAACAGCAGTAGGCCCATGGTTAGTAATGTTTATATGTAATCATTCTCCGGTAGCGCAGATTCAAGCATCTTCAAATCAAACCGGGTCTAGGGTGGGGCCACAATGGGCGATCAAAGTTTTACATAGGAATAAATGGGAAAATTCTTTAAAAATCATCTTCTCAAGAACAGCAAAGCAATGATTAGTCATATTTATATGGATTGATTGATTGATTATTATTGTTTAACGCCGAGTCGGCAATATTTCTGCCATATTTCGGCGATCAAATTAAGTGTGTATGATCATTGTTGAAGTTTTTGGTTTCTCTGGCCGTATTTATATGGAGCATTGCCGTGCATTCTCATGCGACATATTCTGGTAGACTACAATATGTGCAGTGAGGATTGGTACACATTGTCGCCGGCGACAATATGAACAGAACGACAAAATGTACCGTCACAATCATGCTGCATGAAATAGCATACGAGACACGTCAGTGTGATTCACACATCAATTACATTCACAAAACTACCAATAAACAACAAATGAAATCTTTAAGCAACAATATCTGACAATATGTACAGTGAGGGTGAGGCACATAATGTCGCCAGCGACAATATGTACATGCATTACTTTTCAACGGCAACAATATGTACCGATGGACGAAAATATGTTCAGTGAGGGTATATACATATTGTCGCCGACGACAATATGTACAAAACGACAATATGCACCCTTTCATCTACCGAACTTATTACAGACTGAATAAAATTAAAAAATAAACGAAATTGTGCTGTTAAACAATCATTCTTCCATTATATCTTTAAAAAAAATAAATTCCCTTTTATAACATTTACGAAAACCTTTGGGGACAAGACAACCCTAAAAATCTTTAAAACGTCTTTATCAAAGATTCAGAAGTGACGTCATCACCGAAAAAGTTTCCAACCAGGTTCAAAATAATTATAAATCAAACCTAAAATATGCAAGAATATTGACCAAGCCTTGTATATCTTTTTTTTTAAAATGCGTTGATATGGTCAATATTAACGCACTTTGAAAAGAAATATTTTTTTTTCAAAGTGCGTTAATTTGGTACCAAATTTAACGCACTTCGAAAAGAAAAATTTCAAAGTGCATAATTTTTCAAAGTACGTTGTAACATTGCCATAAGCAAGAAAGGCGTTAATATGTATTATATTAATATACCGGTATATAAAGTCCTTTTAATGTGTACTACATGTATTTACATCTTCAGGGCTTAAGGAGGGATTCTTCTCATATTTATTGTATCTAAAAGTAATTTTCACGGATTCAAGAAGACGACATCATTATCAATTAGATTCAATTTGACCACTGTATTTTAGAAGCTAGATCAGATTAAGATATTTATCTTTTTCCCGGACATTAAGAATGAAAATCTGCTGTTGCCAATCATGTTGTGCTTACTTCTATGTCAAAAGATTATTTTGATTTTTGCACAGATAGATTATACCATAGAGGGTCTACCAGATGCTATTACCAGATTTAAAAGATGAATAATTTATCTTCATAAGATATCAGCTAACCCGAATTTACTGCATTTGTCTTAATTTTTATGGAATTTTTCTTACAAAATGATACAAACACACACACAAAAAAAAAAAGATTTGACCGTTTACTAAGACAGAAGAACACTTTCTTCATATTTTTTTTTTTCTCAAATCTGTTCTTAGATTGGAAGCTTTCATAAATGGGCAAGAATGTGGTGTACTAGAAGATCATATTTACTGGATTTTTTTTTTAAATTAGTTCGTAGTAATTAATTTTAGTTACTTCAGAAATGTTCCTTTAGTCTTTGATTGTTTAAGAACTTTACATGTAAATTAATTGTTCTGCGGTAATTTTGATATTTCATATATTTCAATATTAATATATTTCAAGTTTCAATATTCTACGGTATATTTCAAGTTGGAGTTTACAGAATGGATTAAGCGTTTAAAAAATATATCGAAGAATAGTATTAGAAATTTAAAAGGCAAAATGCAAACCATCTATCCTTCCGGTTTCACTAAATCGGAGGTGATAAAGGAATTACAGAGATTATAAACAATATTTATGTTTCCAGCAGACAAGATTTCTTACAATATCGTCTTGTAAGGCTCAAAATTATAACTGTACATGTATTTAAGAAGAACTTGATTTAATTCTATATCTGAAAACCTTCCATATACTCAAAGGTCACTTTCTAAAGATGAAATTCTTCAAAATCACATTACTGTGCTTAATTCTATTATCATTCCAGTCAACCAAGTTGAGTTCGGTCTACCCTACCTACACTGGATTCCTAAACTTCATCAAAATCCAAACAAAGATACATAACAGGTTCCAGCAAGTGGTCTATCAAGCCCCTATCTTAACTCCTTACACAAATGTTAACTGATGTAAAGGAGACACTTCAGACATACTGTGCTACAGCATATTAAATGTTGATTCTCAAAAATTCCTAAGAACTTCTAGAAAATGTTAAATAACCATTTTTTTCAAAAATGAAAAACATCAAGACGAACGACTTTTCTACAATTTATACAACCATTCCTCAAGATAAATTCAAAAATAGGCGTTTTGATATCATAGACAACTGCTTCTTCAATAAAAACCAAATTCGGAAATTTTTACATCTTGAGATTGATCATTAACAAAATTACTTCCTTAAAATCCCCCTGATTCTACACACAAGTACTCTGAAATTGTTATTACATGTAAAAGGATGCTGGAGTTCCTCGTTGACAACATTTATGTAGTCTTTGAAGACCAGATCTTTCAATAAACTGTTGGAATTCTAATAGGAACTCATTGTGCTCCCTTATAAGCCGACCTGTTTTTATATTCCTATGAAGCAGATTTTATTCAAAAACTTCTATATGACAAAAACAGTTGCCGTGAGTGGCCTTTAACTCTACATTCAGATATATCTACAGCGTTTTATTAATTATCAATAATTATTTCCATTCATATGTCCACTCGATATATCCCAGTGAACTTGAAATAAAAGGCACCACAAAGTTTTCCAAAACAAATTCATATTTGTATGTTTTACTGACTATAGACAATGAGGGTCATCTAACAAACCCGAGACAACACCCAGTCAGCCGCATGGAACAAGGGCAGCAGTGTGCGAACCCCTTACAAAACGAAGAAGTTCTAGAGTCACAGGTCAGTACACACATTGCTGGTCGTATATCAAAGTATATTGAAGACTTGTAAGACCTGACATCAGATCCTTATATTCTTGACATTGTTAAAGGATATAAAATTGAATTTATTGAAGTTCCATCTCAAATAAGGGCTAGACCCACTATTGCTAATAAGCGCGATTCTGAGATAATTGACGATCTCATTCTTTCCTTCGAAAAGAAGGGCATAATTCGAAAAACTAGTCATTGTGATGGTGAATTTATATCTACGATTTTCACGGTACCCAAATCTGATGGATCGTTTCGACTTACTCTAAATCTTAAAGATCTCAATGAATTTGTCGTGTACAAACATTTTAAAATGGAACATTTGCAATCGGTGCTAAATATAATGACTCAAAATTGTTATATGGCTAAAATTGATTTAAAAGACGCATACTACACGGTTAATGTTCACCAAGAATTTAGAAAATTTATGAGATTTATTTGGAAGGGCAATGTGATGGAATACACATGTCTGGCGATGGGACTAAGTTCAGCACCAAGAATTTTTACAAAGTTATTAAAGCCTGTATTTGCTTCGTTAAGATCAAAGGGTTTTATCTCTGTTGTTTACATTGACGATGTGTATTTACAGGGTGCAACGTTTAAAGAATGTGCAGAAAATGTGTCTTACACTTGTGATCTTTTGAAAAAATTGGGATTTATCATACATGAAGAGAAGTCAATTTTTAAACCAACGCAATCATTTGCGTTTTTAGGTTTTGAACTTGATTCTGTTGAAATGACGATCAGTCTGACAGATAGGAAGAAAGATACTTTGCGACAAAAGATCAAGTTTATTCAACAAAATTCGTACACAATCCGCGATATTTCAGAACTTTTGGGTTTATTAACAGCTTATTCAGTGGCAATACCTTATGGAATGTTGTTTTCTAAAACGATTGAAATAGAGAAGATTGAAGCATTGTCAAAAAGTTTTGGAAATTTTGATTCTCGAATGAAATTATCAGAGAGGGCGTATAATGATATGATGTGGTTTTATGACACTGTGTTAAACGTTTGTGCTCCGATAAGGCGTGTCAATCCTCAGGTTGAAATGTGCACTGATGCATCGTTATCTGGATGGGGTGCAGTATTAGGTGATTCTAAAACTGGGGGTAATTGGATGGAATCAGAGGTTTCATTTGCCCCGAATATTAATTACTTAGAATTGTATGCAATCCTCTTAGGATTAAAGAGTTTTTTATCAAATCTTTGTGGAAAACATGTTAAGATTCATATTGACAATTCAACTGCTGTTGCTTGTATCAACCATTTCGGGTCAACTAGATCTTCAAAATGCAATGATATTACTAGGGAAATTTGGTTATTAGCTAAAGCCAATAACATCTGGATTTCAGCGGTTTATTTACCTGGTAAAGATAACATTGAGGCGGATTTTGAGAGTCGAAAAATTAGAGACGATACAGAATGGATGTTAAATTCAGACATATTTCATGCATTGTGTAAAAGATTATTTATTCCAAGTGTTGATTTATTTGCATCTCGTATAAACACTCAGTTAAAAAACTATGTTTCGTGGAATCCAGACATAGGATCTTTTGCCTTTGATGCATTTACAATTAATTGGCAACAGTTTTCTAAAATTTATGCATTTCCTCCTTTCAGTATTATAGACAGAGTATTACAGAAAATAAAGCAAGACAGGGCCGAAGGAATCTTAATTGTTCCGTGTTGGGAAACACAGTTATGGTTTCCAGTGCTAATGAGAATGTGTGTCGCTCCGCCCATAAAGATTCCGAACAGCACACGGACATTGAAGTTACCGAATCGCTTGTCTGTATTTCATCCCCTTCACAACAAGCTCCACCTTCTCGCTTGTCATGTGTCCGGCAAATATACGAAGGACGTGGTTTATCGGAGGAATCAGTTTCAATTATTATGAAGTCCTGGCGAAGTTCTACACATAAACAGTATGGCATTTATATAAACAAATGGTTTCAGTTCATAGATGGGAAAGTTGATCGAACTGATAAAGTTTCTGTGAACTTGGTAATTGAATATTTAACTTCACTTCATAAATCAGGACTGAGTTATAGTGCGTTAAATACAGCAAGGAGTGCTCTATCCTCCTTTGTGTGTTTAGATGATGATTCAAATTTAGGGGAACACTCGTTAGTCAAGAGATTTATGAGAGGAGTTTTTAACGTAAATCCCAGTTCCCACGTTATTCCGCTACATGGGACGTTAGACAAGTGTTAGATTATTTAGTTACTTTGGGCGAAAATCGAGACATGACAATGCTTTGTTTATCAATGAAATTAGTCATGCTATTAGCTTTAGTTTCAGGACAAAGACTGCAGACGTTGAAAGCGTTAAACATTGAGTTTATGAATATGAATGATGATTCCTCAGTAATAATTTTTGATGTTAAGAAATTACTGAAACAAAGCAGACCAGGTTTTCATTTGAAACCTCTTCAGTTTAGACACTATGTAGATAATCCTAGTATTTGTGTTGTTTCTTGTATTTTAGCTTATTTAGATAGAACAAAAGTGTTTAGAAATAATGTTTCTCAATTGTTAATTTCAACTCAAAAGCCGTATAAAGCGGTATCTACAGATACTTTAGCTAGATGGCTTAAATCATGTTTACAGAACGCCAAGACAGACACCGATATTTATAAGGCGCACAGCACTCGGGCGGCATCTTCGAGTGCGGCGAAGTCATCAGGTGTTCCAATTACTACGATCATGGACAATGTTGGTTGGACATCTGCTCAGACTTTTGCGAAATATTATGATAAGAACATTGAAAGTAATGTCTGTTTCTCTTCAGGAATTTTGTCAAAATTGAAGAAATAGTTATATCACTTTTCATATTTTTAATAAATGTTGTATTTTTCTTGAAACACAATTTTTACATTATGCTTTAATCATGTGTCAATCGACTTTAAAGTCTCACATGACACCACGTGACTGAATGCCGAAGGAGAATTGATAAATTAAAGGAGACTTACCTGTAAGGCGAACTTTGATTGAAATTCTCCGAGGCATTCAGGAACGTGGGGGCAGGTGTCCGACCCTGTCCCACCCTCAAATAATACTATTAATTTATAATTAACTCATATTAAATGTTTTCGATTGATCACATGATTCTTTAAATACTGATCTGGGAACTAGCAAGCATATCTCACCTGCCCCCACGTTCCTGAATGCCTCGGAGAATTTCAATCAAAGTTCGCCTTACAGGTAAGTCTCCTTTAATTTATCAATTATATGGCAAGCGAGATGACTTCAGCTTTTTCATCGTCAACTTACCTTATTTATGTAGTAATATTCCGCTATCATCTATACTTGGTGTTTATGTCTCCCAACTTATTCACTTCTCAAGAGCATGCTCTCAGTACAAACAATTTTTAATCCGAGGCAGGCTACTCACAGATAAGATGATGTTACAGGGGTTTCAACACCCTCCTTTAAAGCCAGCACTTCGTAAAATCTATGGTCATTATAATGACCTTATTAGCAAATATAACCTATCTTTGGGTCGGATTTTGGCTGACTTATTTCATACCAATTGTTTGGTCTTTGTTTTCTGAGTAAATTTTACTTTGGAACGTCTTCCGTCTTGATCAATATACCAAAGGATCACAGCGGGTGTGACCGGTCGAAATGGAATGCTTACTCCTCTTAGGCACCTTATCCAACCTATGGAATTTCAGGGGTTCCGTGTTTATGCCCTGTTCACAGATTTGTATTGTTTGTAGATTTCTTGGGATCAATCACTGTTCATTATCATTAATGTTTTTTTTTTCATTTGAGAAGTAGAAGAAGAGATATTTTCATACGGCGCAGTTCCGTCAAGAATATTGTCCCTGCTAGATTTCAAACTCGGATTACTATTTCTATTAAACTTGTACAATTACATGAAGGACATAAAAATATGATCTTTTAAATTCCTTACTTCTAAATATATAAGAGTATAAGCAATTATATTTTGAATATTTCATTTTGTAAGAAACCAGATAAGAATCCCTTCTTACATGTAATATACGTCGCATGCAGGTCTGGCAAACAAACCCTGTTCAAATTGAAAATTGATTCTTTTTTCAGAAATATTAAGATAAATATTATATTATTTACAAACAGATTGAAAAGTCCAGTGCTTTTTTTTTTAATAAAAGAACCCTAACAGAAAAATACACTATAACAGTTTAGTATATTTGAATATATTTTCTATTTTAAATGAAAGTTTTTACTAAAGGAAACCAAATTATTTTTACTATGGATTTTATGTTGTTCTCCAATTCACACACGCAATTTTTTTTATATTAAATGGAAATATTACTCACTTATTCACATATTATTTCCAAATTTTTACATCATTCGTATTGAATTTAAGAGATTTTAAGTATCGCAATCTCAACCAAAAAAAAAAAATTAAAGTATCAAAGTACTTACTATATTTAACTATAACAATTAATAGTGAACTATAATAGTAAATTTCCCAAAGGAATTTATGAGAATGAATTCTGCCATTGTATTAATGGTTCAAAGGAAAACCTACAGTAAAATTGTCTTACATGTAATCATGTTAATTCCACAGTAGAGCATAATTTAAGTCGTCAATATTTGAAGATTTTGCCACTTTAATCAATCTAAAACCGATTCCCAACACTCATTCTGAGATTTCACATTTTGCTTAAATCATTTATTGAACTAGATGCGTCAGATGACACGAATGCCCCTACTGCCATGCAAGTTTTAAATATCTGAAAGTCTAAGAGTGTGAAAATAGCAATAATGGGTGGAAATGACAAGAAAATGATACACAATATTACTTCTTTTGTTTCTGTTTCTGGATTTAGTTATCTATGCCACAACATACTTTGATACTTAAGCTCTGTGAAATGGTGATCACGTACAACCGAATCAACAAAAAGTCTAAAACAGTTTATACATGTACTTACAATTATAGAAATTTTAAAATTTTAAGGTCCCTTACTCTAATGAAAGTTGGGCACTCTATACAAAACTTATATTTGATCTATAAGCCACCAATAAAAAGTAACGAAGATCAGTTCATTATGTTCAAGCACACAAAAAATAAGAAAATCAATAAAACTGAAATTTTCTAAGTCAAAGGGCAACATTTAATTTTCGTAAAATGGGTCGATCAAAATAAAACTTGAACTTGATCTGTAAGTCAATTTTGGAGACAAACCAAAATATCAACGCATTTTCTACAAGCACAGCACAAAAGTCTAGAAAAAAGTAAATTATTAGATTTTTTCAAAGTCTAACGGCAATAATTTTCGTGAAAATTGGCCAATCGACATGAAACAAAAACTTGATCTGAATCTCGTTGATACCGAGAGACTCAGCTCAGTAAATTATATCTAAAAGTACTGCATAAAAAAGTAAATAAATAATAAAACCAGGGTGAGGTTTATCCACTTCTTACCCACAATAACTGCGGAATTTTGAACAAAGGATAATTTGAAGTACAAGAGACTTCCGATGTTTTTTTTATTCTGAAGTGTCTGGCTTTATTACCGTCTTCCTGGAAGACGGTACAGTGTATACAGAGTTGAAGTATTTTACAGTCTTCGGACCATGCACTTCCTCTCTTTTGTGATTGGTAGAAATTGTATGATGAAATTTTTTTCAATTATTTCATTGGTTGAAATGCTGTTCAAGGTAAGGGAGATAATTTTCTGATAGCCTAATTTTCGTACGACTTAACAATTTTTCAAGATTTTTCAATCGTAAAAAAATATGACAAAACAAAAAATGGGAATTGGCAGTAATTAATTCGAAATAACATGCTATATATTTTTTTTATAGCAATTACCAAAAGGATTTCTATATTTTCATTGTTAACAGAATTGATCTTTATTGCATGTAATCTTTACAGCTTGTATGTATTCTTTTTCACTTTGTTTTGCCCAGTCTTTCTTATTTCGGCAGCACTCGGCACATATCACAAAGGTGACATAATCAGCCGAGGTTTGCCGAATCATCTCGACAGCAGAGTCGAAATTTACGGAGACAGCCGAACATCTGTTAACCTTTCACTTGGTAGGGCTTATGTCAGAAAAAAAAAAACTAATGCAGAAATACAAAGCCAAGAAATTTTAAGAATTATACGTCCTGATAAGTTTAGGTCAGTCACGTCTGACTGTTTAGGGTTGCTACTAAAGACGGTTAGCATTTTGAAAAATACAGTGTAAGCATAACCAGAAGTTGATGTGTCGGATCCTCTAATATGTTGACGGTGCGACCGTTGGGGCGAGCGCGTTGTTCACTTATATTTAATATCCGCCTCTTCAAACCGCACGAGACATCTGCAACGTCTAGACTGTGACGTCACATGACGTCGTATGTTAGCTGCATTACCATAAACGAAGTTTGAAAAGTGCAAAAATTTTAACAAAGAACGTTTAATCTCTTATCTGTTTGCAATATCCATTAATTTAAGGTGAGTTGATTTTTTGTGAATTTTTAGTTGTTGTTACCGCGAGAACAACAAGCGATGCACTGTGGGTCCAGAACTACCGCGGAAAAAAAATCTATTGAATGAATGTGCAGTAGTCCGAATTTTTTCTTCTCCCAGGCGTTGTCGTAAGAGCTCTCAGTGACGAGCGGCGCCGCGCCGCTCGCTATAAAGTCTTAAAACGTGTCGAGACCATTTTCGACAAATAAATGACTGGTTTACAACAAGTTTGACTTTCCAGAAAGCCTGAAATGTCATCTGTTTGGCTTCATTAATGTCACAGAATAAACAGTGGAATGTAACATTTTTTCCTCAGCTATTACAGACAGAAGAACTTTTTTTCAAAGGGGGGGGGGGGCACAGAATAAACAGTGGAATGTAATATTTTTTCCTCAGCGATTACAAGCAGAAGAACTTTTTTTCAAAAGGGGGGGGGGGCACAGAATAAACAGTGGAATGTAACATTTTTTCCTCAGCTATTACAGACAGAACTTTTTTTTTTCAAAAGGGGGGGGGGGCACAGAATAAACAGTGGAATGTAACATTTTTTTTTTCAAAAGGGGGGGGGGCACAGAATAAACAGTGGAATGTAACATTTTTTCCTCAGCTATTACAGACAGAAGAACTTTTTTTTCAAAAGGGGGGGGCACAGAATAAACAGTGGAATGTAACATTTTTTTCCTCAGCGATTACAAGCAGCAGAACTTTTTTTCAAAAAAGGGGGGGGGTGTAGTCAGAAAAAAAAAAATTACAACTTACCTGAATAATCTTTCACTAGGAAAAAAGGGGGTGTTCAAACTCGAAATTCTTATTTCGTGGATCGGAGGGAAGATTTAAACTTTTTGACTCTCTCGAAAACACATGGGGGGGGGGGGGGGGAGTACATGTATGAATATGCTGCAACAAAAAAATGTGGGGAAGGTAGAGGCAAGCTGCCTTTCAGTAAACATTTGCAACAGTAATTTCAAATATTTTTTGTATATGTGTTTAAAAAATGTAACCACTGAGCAGTATTCGTAAAATTTGTAAACAGTTGAACAATTGTTATACAAGAGGATGGGTAAAACCTTAGCGTTCTTATTGACTTTACATCACAGCAGCTTACTCGGACAACAGCCAAGAAGTTTAATGCGCTAACTTGAATTAGTACGGTGTCATATAGTGAGACTCCCACCCCCATAGTGAGACTTCCCCCGGAAATATGGCTATATATAGCGGTAAGACTCTCCGATGGGGGGGGGGGGGAATTACTATATTGTGAGTCTTCCCCCCTAAACGACCATAGTGAGGCTTCCCCCTTCCATGTTCAGTAGTATTTTATTTACATCGACAATGTATATATATTTGCATTTTGATAATGAT